AGGCTTCCTAAGTCTAGTTAAACGCCGTATACTATCTTAACTAGACTTAGTCTATCGAGATCTAGTTAGGATAACGAAATTAGGATTATCTATACGTTCTAGAAGAATGCCTAAATACGAGAAGTCTATAATAAACTACCGGGAAGTAGTCTATAGCTCTACGGAAGCCCTAACCCTACCTACGTTAAAGTAGGGACTATCTTCCTACCGTTATCCCTCTATACTACTACCTAGACTACCTACTATTTTATTATTTCTATTATTAAAAGGTAACTCGAAAGAATCGGGGTTCGGAAGGAGATCGTTAAAAGAAGTATCGAGGGAGGTATTATAAAATTAAATATTAGGCTTTAATATAATAGGACTAGTAGTATCTAGCGGAGGACTCGCCGGAGAATATATAATATCTTCTAGGTAGTCTTTAACTACCGGAGGGGGTAGTATAGACCTAGTGCGAATCTTAAAAGGATTATTAAATTATAGGGTATTATACTTATTTTCCGGAAGATTAGTATCTAGTAGATCTAGGAGATCTTCGTATTCGTTATAAATAAAGTCGATCGGAACGTATCGCTCTTAAGACTAAGATCTAGATTAAGATTAAGATTAACTCTAAGATAGCACCTATAGATTATAGTCTAGTGTAGGTAGTACCTCTAGTATCGGATTTTTATTAAAAATAATATTTCGGGAGCGTTTAATCTTTTTAGTATATATATTATATAGTATATAATTATCTCCTTCGTTATAAGTAATTAATCTCGCTTCCTATATATACGGATCTAGCTTTATAGGGCGTTTTTCCTTTAGAATTAAGAACTAGTATAAATAGCTAAGTGTACGTAAATTACTAAAATTAGGCTTCTTCCTATAAAGGGCCTTATACGGGGATATACTAATCTTCGAGGTAAAGAGTTAATTTATAGTGTAGTTAATTCCCCTTAGTAGATAACCCTAAAGGTATTTCGGAAGCTAGTATTTAGATATAATAGTAATAAGGGGTTTAACGAGGTATCGATTTTTAATCTCGGTAACACTATTTAGCTACTTCGTATAAGGAGGAGTAGGGTCCTAAATAATACTATTTTGCGAAAGATATACGCCTAAAGGCCGATACTCCGAGGTATTATCACTATAAACCCTTTTAACTTAATAGCTCAATTAAGTTTAAAGATAATTTTTTAGCTAAATAAAAGTCTCGGTAACCTAAGATCGAGATTTAAGTAGAAAAAGCTAGTAAAAGCGCGTAGCGTCGTTAGTAAAGGTAATAAAGTATTTTTCTCTACTATATAATATAATTAAGATTAAACCCTAGACGTCGATATATAAATATTCGCCTAGTTTAGACCTAATAGACCTTTCCTTTCTAAATAGGAGAGTATAACCCTTACCCTTAATATATAGAGTATAGGGAAAAGTAACGCTAGTACCTTTTTTTAATTTAATACCTTCGGTATAGGTTTTTATCTTACGAACCCTATTTTCTTTAGTATAATAAGCACGTCGGTAAGCTAGGTTAATAGAAATTATAGAAGACCTATTTCTATTTTTAGTAGTAAAAATAGAGTTTAGAGATCTAGTTAGTATATCTAGATTATTAGAAAGTATAGTGTCGATTTTATTAATTCTTAGGTAGTTAAGCTAGTAGTGTTCTCCTTTATAGGTTATAAAACTAATAGTAGAATTAGTAGCTTTAAAAGTTATAATACTATTTTTGACTAAGGTGCCGATATCTTCCTTATCTAGTATAGATATAGAGATTAGGCTAGCCTTAAGATCTAGGGTAAGCTAGACCTTATATAAGATAAAAGGTCTAATATATTCGTCTAATATATTTAACATTCTTAAAATAACGTCTCTATAGCCCTTAGTATAAAAAGTATCGCCTATAGCTATAGAAACTAGGACTATATAGGGCCTAAAATTAACGAAGATAGACCTATAAGGGGTTATATAGGTACTAGTACCGGAATTAATTATCTAGCGAGAGATATTATTATCTCCTATAGATAGACCTTCTTTTAATACCGTAAATATACTAAAAATAGTATTTATAAAGAGATTATTATATTTAGTAACTAGATCTCTAGAAGAAGCTCCTTATTAAGGGAAGATAGTATTAATAGTACGATTTAGCGAGATAATACGACCCTAACTATCTACCTAACCTATAACTTAGCCTAGCTAGGGAACTAGGACTTACTAAATAGTATATTATTACTATAGTTATTAATAAAGGACTATATTAGAAGATATACTATTTTTCTATAAAAGGTAATTCCTAGAATAGTAATTTCCTAGGACGTTATAATATTTATAAAAGATAATATTTTCCTCCCGTTTAAAAGGCTTCTTTTTCTTCTTATTTTTATTCTTACCCTTAGGTTTAGACTTATCTTTAGAAGAAGAAGAAGAAGAGGTAGTATTTCTACCTTTTTTATTATTTCTACTAGACTTCTTATCCTTATTAGAAGTATCTTTAATAGATATAGTATTCGTAGATAGGGTTAATTAAGAAACGTTAAAGGAACGATTATTAGTCTCTACCTCGATAAACTCGATATATACTCTTTCTATAAAAGTCTTATCTTTTTTATTAACTCGTAGGTTTTATAAAAAGGAAAGATAACGAGGATTCTCTATAATAGCCTTTTTAAACTAATATAGCTTAATCATTTAAGAGGGCTCTTCGTCTATAGTAATAAAGTTATAAAGGGCCTCTTAAAACCTCCTTATAAAGTCTAAAGAAGATCTATTCTTATACCGTAGGTTAATCCACTTTAAATAGTAGGTATAGGCTTATTAATAAGACTTTATCGTATATATCTTCCGAAGCTTACTAAAAGCTTTACGTATATCCGTAATTTAAGTAATAACTAATAAGGGCTCGGGTACGAGAGTTTTCCGGATATAAATAAGAGTTCGGGTATTATAAGATTGCTAATTATTAAGCTTATTTTTATACTTTTTCCGAAGTGTTTTATTAATTTCCTTAATCTCCTTTATTCTCTCCCGGATATCTATAGTAGTGATCGTAATATTATCGTCGCGTTATACCTATGCCTCCCGTGCTTCCGTAAGTAAAGCCTATTCTATAGCCTATCGAGAGACTTCGAAGTACTTAGGTTTATTTAGGGAGGGAATTCTATAAGAGATCATCCTAGTATAGTATCTATTGTTAGTAAGAAGGGCTAGATATATAGCTATCTTCTAATCTCTATAGTTAGACTATCCTTTTAGTTTCGGTACTAAATCTATATAGTCAATCTTATATCGACTAACGGCGAAGTCCCTAATGTTAAAGGACTCCGATATATTAGCAGTCTATATAGGGTTCGGCAATCAATAAGAAGGTCGAATAGCTAATAAGATACAGCGGTTAATAGAAGTCGAACGGCTAATAAGATACGGCGGTCAACAGAAGTCGAACGGCTAATAAGGTGCGGCGGTTAATAGAAGTCGAACGGCTAATGAGATACGGCGGTTAACAGAAGTCGAACGGCTAATAAGGTGCGGCGGTTAACAGAAGTCGAACGGCTAATAAGGTGCGGCGGTCAATAGAAGTTAAACGGCTAATAAGGTCTGTTCAGCGGTTAATAGAGAAGTCGAACGGCTAATCAGATAATAGTATCTAGTTTTCTACCTAGGTATTCGGATACTAGAGAGAAATTAGGATGACTATTTATATAGGGTATGTTAGGTAGGGTAGGGTGTTATTAGGGTGACTAGTGAAAAGTCTGCAAAAACACCCCACAGTGGGTCGGTACGACGCAGCACTAGGGTCTCGTCGGAGGAATCAGAAGATACGAAGCTTACAGTTATGTAGAGGCTTCGACAGCAAAGGACTCATAACCTGATAGAGAGATGATCCTATACGACTACTTATAAGAAGGAGTGGACTGGAAAATCTTGTATTGTGCGTGCTAAGAGAAAAGGAAGAAGAAGGAAAGCTAGCTAGACTAGACTAAAGTGCTAGGAGGTCACGTGTCTTCGCAACAAGATCGAAGGTTAAGATTTTTATAAGGTTTATACTATTATTACTTAACTAATATCTTTTAAAGTTTTTATTATAATTAGGGGAATACTACTACTACCACCCCCCCTCGGATAAGGCCACCCCCCCCCTACCTAATTTTTTAGGTATCTAACTAAACATTCTGGTATAAACCTTTTTTCTGCCGCTTTTTCTACTACCTAAATATCTATTCCTTTAAATATTAATTTATATAGTAAAAAATATACCTTTAATATTAGAAAAAGATGCTAATTCTTATATAACTAAAGTTTTATTCGTATATAAGTGCTTATTATATATTGAATCCCTATAGTGAGTAGAGGAGCTATAAAGGAGAGAAGAGGTAGAAGTTGATAAAGAGAGGGCTAGGTCCTAAGGTTAGAAGATATAAAATTGATATCGAAATGAATTTTTATATAGTTATATAAGGGGTACTTATATTTCGTAGTGGTTTTATATAGTAAATAGAGGTACTATTAGTGTTACTATAAATGACTAGCGAAAGTGGTCAATTAAAAATAAAGGCGGTGAGAAAGGCGGTTAGGATTTCTACCAAATCGGGTTAGAGGGGGGTGGTTAGATCTAAGGGGGGGTTTAGTAGTAGTATTCACCTATAATTACTAACCGGCCCCTAAAATTTTATACTAAAATTACGGACCCTCGCTTACGAGGGTCCGCTACCTAAACCGTATATCCTACCTAAACCGTATATTCTTCCTATATTTTACCTTAACTACTATTTTCTATATAATAATATAGGAGATTAATAGTTTAAAAATCATAGATAAATTAATTCACTATTTAACTATTAATATATAAGATTATATTAATTTCTCTTACGTTTTTATACTCGCCTATACTTCCTAATTTCGATTAATACCTTCTTCCACTTCCGCCTCGTTTTATCTTAATTAGCTTTCTTAGTTAATTTATACTCTTTTCGCTTGATCTCTTTAACTTAGGATAAATTAATAATACTAGTTATCTAGGTATAGCGCTGAGAAGTATTATATCGGGTGTAGCGAGCACCTATAATAGCACTTAGAGACCGACTACGGGCACACTGTTTTTACTACCGGCATACTATTGACTAACCCGTTTTAGGATATTTCCCGCTGGCCATAATTTATTTATAGGCTGTCGTATTTAATATGGTACTCCCTTAGTATTTTGGATAGTACCCGAATCTTATCTAGGCAACCTATCGCGAATGTAGAATCTTGCACGCTATCTACACTATCATACAAAAATGAAGCTATTCCTAGATATTCATTTGATCGAGTTTTTTTCTACCGAAAAGGGGTTTGGTGCGAAAATGAGGCTATTCCTAGATGCTGATTTGATCGAGTTCCAGTGCAAAAATGTAGTTTTTTCTTACTAAAAAAGGGGGTTTTGTAATCACGTGATTAGTCAAACCCTATATTACCGAACCCCCTTTTTCGGTAGGAAAAAACTCGATTAAATCAGTATCTAGGAATAGCCTCATTTTCGCACTAAAGCCCTTTTCGGTAGAAAAAAACTCGATTAAATGAACATCTAGGAATAGCTTCATTTTTGTATGATAGTGTAGATGGTGTGCAAGATTCTACATTCGCGATAGGGTGCCTAAATAAGATTCGGGCACTGTCCAAAATACTAAGGGAGTACCATATTAAATACGACAGCCTATGAATAAATTATGGCTAGCGGGAAATATCCTAAAACGGGTTAGTCAATAGTGTACCGGTAGTAAAAATAGTGTGCCCGTAGTCGGTCTCTAGCACTTATTAAGTCGAATTCCCGCCGTAGTTCGTAAGCTAGTATAGCTTATACTTTAGTATACTTTTAAAGGTTTTCTAGTGCCCTTTTAAACCTCTAACTCCCTAGATCTAACTAATTAAGCTAGTCGCTTATCCTTCTTACTTTACTAGTAGTTTTTAGAGTGCTAAACTCGGAGTTTTAGGAGGTAGTTAAGGGTATTCTTAACTAAGGGAGATTATTATTATATAGATTATAAGACTCTAACTTATCCGTAATAAGCTTAGAATTAATAGGCTAAAGACTAGTTAATTTAAACCTAAGCTTAATTATAGGGGATTGATAATAAAACATCCCTCTCCTGCTAATCAAACATCCCTTTGGCTAATTAAACATCCCTTTCGCTAATTAAACATCCCCCTGCCTGATTTCTACCTGATTGCTGCCTAAAGATGCCTAAAGATGCCTGATAAGATGACCCCCCTAATATCACATGACCTTTTCTGCCTAAAGGTATATAATAAAATGACCCTCCTTAAACATCATATAACCTTCTTTCTACTAGTTCAATTTCTATATATTTTGATAGTGGTTTATATAGTAAATAGAGGTACCGCCTATTTTAGTGGGTTTTAGTGATTTTAAGAGGAAGGCGGTGAAAACAGCGGTAAAGGAAGCGGTTATAGACGTTCTTATTTTTTTAAGGGGGGTCATCCTATTATATACCTTTAGGCAGAAAAGGTCATATGATGTTTAAGGGGGGGTCATTTTATTATATACCTTCAGGCAGAAAAGGTCATGTGATATTAGGGGGGTCATCTTATCAGGCATCTTCAGGCATCTTTAGGCAGCAATCAGGTAGAAATCAGGCAGGGGGATGTTTAATTAGCGAAAGGGATGTTTAATTAGCCAAAGGGATGTTTGATTAGCAGGAGAGGGATGTTTTATTATCAATCCCCTAATTATATTCGGCTAGAAGATTTTTCGTCTAATTTCTCTAATTAAGTATAAAAACTCGTCTTTTAAAAATTTATAGTATCTAGTTATTATAATAGTTTCTATAGTCTTACTATATTAATATTTATATATACTAAATACCCTAATATTAAAAGACTATAGTATATAACTAGTATATAAAAGTAAGAAGAATAAAATAATATTATTCTTTTTATAAAATTTAATAAATTAGTATATTAAATACGATTTAAAATAGTTATATAAAATAAGTCTTTTTCTTCTAATTATTTAACTAATTATCTATTTATAGAAGAGTTAGATCTACTAATATACTAAAGTATTATTAATATATCCGGTATTAGTTATACAAATATACTTATTACTTTTAATAGTATTAAACTAGTATATTAAAGCTTATTAAGTATTTAGAATTATAAGTAGTAGATAGATAAAACTATTAGTAAAAACTACTTTTAAAATAGTAATAGATTTATAATTAGTAATAGATCTATTAAATAGCTTCTTTTTTAGATACCTAGTAATAATAAATTAATTATATCTAATACTAATTTAAAAACTAATTTCGTTAAAATTATAGATATCTTATTAGTATATACTATATTTAGATATAACGTGTTAATAATTATTAAACTATCTCTTAACTATAGTTTTATTAAGTATAGTAGCTTACTTAATATTAAAAGCTTACCGTTATTATATATAGTACTTAGGATTACGTTTAAGGAAGCGTTATAACTAGTAGTTACTAATTATTAGAGGTATTATAGTTTTATTATAATAGTCTTCTTCGAGAATTAAATTAGCTACTATAGTAATTTAACGGCGGTTTATCGAGGCTCCGACCGTATTAAAGTAGTCGATATAGTCCTATAAAGCTTATTCCTATATAGGATTAAGCTTCTGACTATTAGGTTATTATTAAAAAAGCGACTTTCCTTCTTTCTAGCGGTGCTATAGTCGGTTTATAGGAACCGCGAATTCTCGCGTAGTTTTCGCGATATTAGGTTTAGACTACTTAGAGAGAGACTCGAGAGCTTTAAGAAGCTAATCCTCTATCTCCTTATTATTTTTAGGCATTTTTAGTGGTATAGTTTATAATTAAAGTAAGGGGTAGGATATAGAAAGAATGTACGGTTTGGGTGGGATATACGGTTTGGGTAGCGGACCCTCGCTTACGAGGGTCCGTAATTTTGGTATGAAATTTTAGGGGCCGGTTATATTAAAAGGCTAGCTAATATACTATCTTAATATTATTACTATCTTCCTTAATATAGAGATTAGAGAACCTATTAAGATAGAACTTCCTAAGATCGTACGAGATAAATACTTAAGAAAGTATAGTTTACTAATAAAGACGCTATATAAACTAAAGTAAAGTCCTCGAGAATAGTATATTTTACTATAAGACGCTTTACTAGCTATAGATTTTTAGAAATTATAAGCTAATTATTTAGTTTTTATAAAAGATCGCTTATTTATATTAATCTATATAGATAATCTCTTAATTCTAAGCCCTTCTAGGGATCTAATTAGCTAATTTAAAAAGGATATCTCTATATATTTTAATATTTTAGATAAAGGTCCTATAGATAGATATCTAGGAATTAATATAATATATAATTCTAATAGCTCTATCTCTCTCTCTTAGAAATATTATATTAAAAAGGATCTTACATACTTTAGTATAGTAGACTATAATTTTAAAAATTCTAACTCCTTTTTATAAGAAGGAAATCCTTATTCTTTATATTAATAATAAAGGTTTTATAACTATAATTAAAATATAGTTTTACTAGATAAAGATTAGTACTTTAGTCTAGCTAATAATTTCTATATATATAGATATTACTTTTCTAACTATAAAGCTAGCTTATTATACTAAAAATCTAGATAAGTAGTACGAAACTACTCTTAAAAGAGTTTTTCGCTATTTTATAGGTACTAAAAATATAGTTATTACGTATATATTATATTCTATAAAATCTAATCTTTATCTTAATATTAATATTAATCTTAGCTTTATAAAACTATTAGATTTTTATAATACTAATTAGACTAGCCTATATTCTAAAAAGGGACTATCTATCTTAAGTTTTATTTTTTAACTCGCTAGAGGATTAATCTCTTAGATCTTAAAAAAGTAAGTTTATATTACCCTTTCTAGTACTAAAAGTAAATATATTTTAGAAGCTCTTATAGTTTAAGAAGTAATCTAGCTATTATAGCTTCTAATAGAACTAGATATTAAAGGTCTTATTAAAAAGCCTATTCCTATATATATAGATAATAATAATACTATTATACTAACTAGTAACCTAGAATTTTATACTAATACTAAATATATTAAGATAAGATATTATAAGCTCTATAAGGAAATTAATATTAGAAGAATTAATTTTAAGAAGATCCCTATAGTAAAGATAGCTATAGATAGACTAACAAAGCCTCTCGTAAAAGTTATATTTTAACGCTAGATTAGTTAGCTAGGTTTAGCTAATAGGAAAAAGCTGTTTATTTAGCTAATCTAGGGAGCTCTTTATTACGATATTTAAAGAAAAAGACTAGTTTTAATCCTAAGAGTTTATAGGGGGTTTCTTAGCTTATAGGGGGTTTTTAGCTTCTTCGTATAGCTTATAGGGGGGGTTTTAGAGTTAGATGACTCCTCCCTCCTTACTATACTATAAGAAGCTCTTTCTTCTAGATAGTTTCCTTCCCTTCTTCTCTTCTTTAGACGAATATAGGGTTTCTAGTCTCTCTCTCTCTTTTCGTAGCGTAGAGTCTGGTCCTATCTCTTAAAAAGGTTATATAATATTAGGGGGGTGTCATTTTATTAGGTATCTTTAGGCATCTTTAGGTAGCAAATAGGTAGAAATTAGGTAGGGGGATATTTAATTAGCTAAAGGGATATTTAATTAGTAGGGGAGGGATATTTTATTATCAATCCCCTAAATATATATCTTATAACAAAAGTTTAGCGATAAGCCCTACTTCTTTTAGCGTAGGTTATCACCCCCCTAACTAGCTATTTTCATTTTTTTCTCTCTTAGTAACTATACGGTCTTTTAGCACTAAAATTTCTAGAAACCGAGGGCTAAAGGTAAAGCTTTCTTATAAATAGCGAGCTAGAATATATAGTGCCCTTAATACTAATATATCGGCTTCTAAACTCGCCCTCGAATATAGCTATCACTATAGCACTATCTACCGTACTTAAGAGCGGTTTTTAGAGTAAAAGAATATAAAATCTAGACCTCGTAGCGGCCGCCCCCTAGTCTTTACCTAACGGGCTAGTAAATTTATATATTTAAAAGCCCGCCGGAACCCTCTCTAGAGCTATAAACGTATCGCTACATGTTAAGGTAACTATTTGTTAAGGCAGTACTTGTTGACTAGGTGAATAATAATACGAGAAGGATACGGAGTTAGAACGAAGGGTATTCGATTCTATATTGTTCGTAAGACTAAATCTTGCCTTCCCTTTCCATATGGGTGTCTTCCTTTTATGATTTAGTTTCCCCGCTTCTCGGAACCGGATCATCTTGGTTCCATCCCGTCATCGTAGGGTATTCGGAAGAGTCTCCTCCGTCTAAGAGAAAGGGAGCCTAAGGCAAAATGATATAACAAAGAAATTCCGTAACACTATAAGCTACCCTAGATACCTCTCTTAAGGCTTAATTTGCTATATTTATAAAGCGTATAGTTTATTTAAATATTATTTAGTCTAAAAGATCCCTATCCTTATTAAAACTATAAAAAAAAGATTAGTATATACTTTAAAGTAGTAGTATAAAACTAGCTTTTCGGATTAGATCTTTTTAGATAAATATTCTATTTAATAAACTTCGAATTCTAAAGTAAAATAGGCTTAGAGATTCCGATCTAAGATATACTAATATAAACTTATAAATATAAAAGCTTATATAAAAGATATTATATAGATAGTTTAGGCTATAATCTAGCTTAGTAAGCGGATAAAGTTAGTAATAATAAAGCGGGAGGTACGGATAGTTTAAGGTCGAGAAAAGGCTAGATATACTATAAAATCCTATCTTAATACGCTTTAAGAGGGCTTTGTACTATATTATATACTAGGGACTATCTTCTAGTAAGATAATATACCGATTTATATATCTATAACTATATAAGAGTGGTTTAAACGTTATAGGATTTATATTAAGGATTAGCCTCTATATTCGCCTAATTTAAGCCCGATTAAGCCTTATTAGTGGATACTAAAGGTTAAATTATTAAAGATACAGCCCGAATTACTATATATAGGTCGTAGTAAGCGGGACTAGACTTATTTTCGGCGTTATATATATACTATATAGGATACACTTAATTAGGATATAATTAATAGTTTAAACCGATCTATACCTAGGAGATTGCTTACTACTCAGAAATTAAGGGGCTATTATACTAAATATTAAATTTAGTAAAAATACTAGCTATTTAGCTATCTATTAATCCTATTTTTATTAAAATATCTATATTATTATTAGGGTAGATATATATAGTTAAGTGTAGTGATATATATTCAATAGGGTGCGGGTAATTTGCGGGTATCGCTAAACTTATAGTTATAGGGTGTATATAGGCAAAGCCTAAAGAAATAATCGATCGCCTTAATCCTAATCTTAATAAAGGTCCCAAAGAGGATCTAATTCTTTATTTCGAAGAGTTAATATATATAGTATAGGCGATACTAGGCTAAGATTACGTTAATAGGAAATCTTATATAAATTTCTTACGCGAAATTGTGGATATAGATAAGATACTAGATTCTATATAAAACTATTAAAATATAATTTTATCGAAAAGGAAATAAGTTTCTTAAGTTTATTATTAATAAAGGAGGTATTAAGATACACCTTAATCGAGTTAATACAATCTTTAACTAAGAGTAACCGAAAAGGTACTAGGATATTTAAGTATTTATTAGATTTTATAATTTTTACTATCGATTTATTCTACGATTTTCTTTTATAGTACTTACCTTTATAGATCTCTTAAAAGGTAGTAAAAATAGTAAAAAGCTAAGACTATTAATACTTAAAGGTAACGAATTAGCTTCGTTTTATATATTAAAATAAGCCTTTACATCTATAGACCTTATTAGATATTATAACTACGAAGTAAAGTTAAAATTATAAAATAATACTTCTAATAAGAGGATAGTAGGATTACTATTCTAACCTAATTTAGAAAGGAATTAGTACCCTATCGCCTTTTAGTTATATAAATTCTTAGGTTTTAAGCTAAACTATACTATATTAGATTAAGAGCTATATATAATTATATATTTATTCTAATACTAATAATAGTATCTTAAAGGAAGTAAATACCTAGTGAAGGTCCTTTTAGATTATATAAATCTATATATCTTTATAAATTAGTAAAAGCTTAATAATAGATAAGTATAATAGAATATATATTTAATATCTTTTAATTTTAATAGTAAGTAGGGATCTAGAAAGATAAATCTAATAGATAGTTTATTATAAAGATCTAATTCTTAGTAAATAGTTAAAGATATTAAAATAATAACCCTAATTTAGGATTAAATTATAGAAGAGGAAGTCTTAATAATTAGTAAAATTATTTATAGAAAGACCCTTAATAAAATTTATTTTAAACTTAGTAAGATATCTTAATAAGAAGATCCTAAATTTAATATAAATAATATATTATTAAAATCTTAGTTTAGACTAAGTAAGATATTATAATAAAAAGATCCTAGGTCTAATATATTCTTTTTCGTTATAGAATATATTAATATAGAAGTAATTAACTAAATAAAATAGGAAATATTATATATAATATTTAACTTTATATTTAATAGATCTAAATACGCTATAATTAAAATAGTCTTATATAAATAAGATAAAGTGAAGATTTAAATATAAATATGGTGATTTTAAAATAAAGATAATAAGACTTAGCGCTAAAAAGGTATAGAAATATGTCTAAAAAAAAAGCTAAAAAGGCTAAGTAATAGATAAGTATAGAATACTATATTTCTAAAGATATTTTTATATCCTAAATTATAAAA